CCTTTTTGTATTTCAGTTTTAACATTAATCTATACTTTTTGTAAAATCTCCAAAATTTGCTATTAAAATTATTCGTCTATGAAATAGCATGTACACATACTGTACCAAAGAAAGCCAAAAAATCATTTTAAAGTACAACACAATTTTTCTATTTAAGAACATTTTTTAATTAACAGAAACATGGAGCAGGGGCCCACTATCTTTAAAACACACGTTTGTGACACAAAATTCGTATCTTTCCTAGAAATATTTAAAGTCCAGTTGTCATTCAGGGGTCATACCACAGATTTAAATGCATTTACCTGTTAGGAGCTGTGTGGTGTTGTGGTTAGCGTGTCAGTATCTATGAAAAAACTGATATTCGGGATTTTTTCGCTTGGGTTGAAATCATATAAATTCCTTTTTAACCATACAATAAATTTTGCCGGGAGAATTTTTCCGCAGAATAGTTTTTTTTGTCATAATTTCGTGCCTTTCATTAAGTACAACTTTGCTCTGTATACTTAGTTCTCAAACTGAATTTGATTTTTATACATTTGAAGCTATCTAGGCATTTTGCATGCCATAACGTTTGAGTTGTTGGCGCTACGGCTATATCCTTTTGTCCCCCGCTTTCACTGAAAGTGGGGGATATTAATTTGGGTCTGTCTGTCCGTCCGTATTTCTGTGTGTCTGTAACGCTTTCGTTTCCGCGCGATATCTCAAGAACCCTTTGAGCTTTCGCAATGAAATTTTGCACAGCAACTCCCTATGGACTAAAGAAGAACCCTATTGATTTTGAGGTCAAAAGGTCAAGGTCATAAATTCTGTCTGTTTTTAACACTTTCGTTTCCGGGCGATATCTCGAGAATCCTTTGAGCTTTTGCAATGAAATTTTACACAGCAACTCCCTGTGGCCTAAGGAAGACCCCTTTTGATTTTGAGGTCAAAAGGTCAAAGTTCAAGGTCGTAAATTCATAGATTCCGTCTGTGTGTAACACTTTCGTTTCCGGGCGATATCTCAAGAAGCTTTTGCAATGAAATTTTATACCATAACTCCCTATGGCCCCTCTTGTCCCTCTCAAAGTGTCCCGCCCCGTTTTTTTTATTTATTTATTGTATTAAAAGTTGCTTGGCACTATTTTTAGCACAGGGACATGTCGAGAGTTTTTACGTATAAAACAGGTTGTCGGCGGAATTTATATTCTAATTACATCTATTAGAACTGTTTAGTAAAGGCTAAATTGGACAACATTTGTTGTGTAAAATTTGGACAATATCAAACGTGAATATAAACATTATATGTGACTTAATGTAAACGCATTTAATTTGCTCTATAATCAAGTACCTCCGTGGTCTAGTGGTATGTTGCTCGCTCAACAAGCGAGAAGCCAGCCCGGGTTCAATCTCAGGATGATTCTCTTTTTTTTTAATGTTTTTTTTTTTTTTTTTTTTTTTTTTTTTTTTTTTGATTTACTAAATGATACTATTCAGCATGTGAAATGAAAAAGTTATAATTTCTGGCGTGTACAAAATCATAAAATCATTATTACAGTGTCATAAATACTCTGTATATAGTATATTAAAAAGAATCTTCTATGCACATATTAAAGAATAAGCAATCAAATCTTTATATCCATATTGGCTTTTTTTAATTTGCTTCAATATACATGTATACATTTAATAATTCTACAAATACAGAGGGGGGCAGTGTGACCCTCCCCCCCCCCCCCGAACTGCGCATGCTCTTCTTTTTTCCCTAAGCGGGGGACACAAACTCTCTGAATTAACTTGTTACCTCTTGACATTGGCCTTGGGGTTTTTACCTACTTTTGAACAACTTTAACCTTAGCCATCACTTTTGAACAGTTGCATGGTGCCTTCGAGAATTGTTCTCTCATATTGAGATACCATCACTTGCAAGTTAAGGGCTTCAAATTTAGACATGTACTCGGCACTTGCGGTCTTAGAGCAGTGAGGGATCTTTTTCGTGCCAGCATCTACTGAAACGCAGGACCTCGATTTATACGGTCTCATCCGAAGGATTCGAACCCGCGACGTAAAGATCAACTCCTTACTCCGTGATTTTAGAGCAAACGCTCTAACTACTGCGCCACACGGGCAACTGCTGGTGTATGAGATCCAAACATACTGGTGTTTGTTTGTTGTTTAACGTCCATCTCGAGAATTTTTCACTCATATGGAGACGCCACCACTTGCCGGTGGAGAGCTGCAAATTTTTAACGTATACTCGGCACTCAGAGCCATAGAACAGTATTATAGGGATCTTTTTTCGTGCCAGCACCTACTGCGACACGGGACCTCGGTCTATACAGACTCATCCGAAGGACCGATCTCCACGTCCCACAGTGGGATTCGACTCCTGTGCGACTGTGGGTGTATCTTTGGGTGATGGTGTATAGGTTGGTGTATCTGGGTGCTGGTGTATATATAAGTCAGTCTTTAAGTGCTTTATGTGTGTGTGCATGGTCTTTGTGAGTCCATTGGTGCAGGTTTTTGTCATGCTGTATCTTTGGTTGCTGGTGTAAATATTTGTGCCTCTGTGTGTATGTGTGAGAGGGTGTGTGTGTGAGGGTGTGTGTTTGTGTGAAGGTGTATCTTTTGGCGCTGTTTTATATCTTTGATTATTTGTGTATGTGTACAAGTATATCTTAATCCTTATGTATGTGTGACTTTCTTTTTTGTTGAAACTTGTGCATACCAAAGCATGTCACAGTACAGACAATTGGTATTCAGTTCCAATACATTTGGGATTAAACGTACATGTATTTACTTTACGTCTTAGCTGCAAGTATATTCTGATTTATAGACGTTCTCTCATGTACAGAATAATAAATTATAAAGGTTTAGCGAATAGATTGAAATAGCTGTTAACATGCACTTTAAACAAATCTAAGTGAAACTTCATTTGTCAGACGAATATTTCTGTGACGTATAAAATCACATTTATGAAATTAGGTTTAAAAAAAAGCTCTTCTTAAAGTGTTAATTGATAACATCACAAACTGTCAAGTATTAATTGATCTAAACTTTGACTTTTACATATGTTCGGATCTAAGTTTTATCATAAAAATTTAACATAATCGTTATTACTTTAAAGCCTGAATTGGATTTTAAGTATTGACAATTGCTTCCTATGTGTACGTGTTGAATCTGATGAGGTGAATTTTAAAAAAAAAAAGAAAGAAAAATAAGGGGGGCGCGGGTCAAATCTGTAGCTCTGGGTCAAACTGGATTTCGAATTCCTAAAGGTCGGTCTGACCCCCCCCCCCCCCGAAACTCCGTGTTTGTGTCTTATCAAAAACCTGAGAATAATAACTCAGTCATTCACACATTCTGGCAAAAGAAGCTCTTTTAAATTGCACGTTAACCTTGCAGGGGTCAAGGTCAAACGATCACTATTCTGTACCCTAAATCAACAAAGGCTGGGTACGAATAAATAATATTGTTTTATGTCTAGTGTTTTAATCACATTGATGATATAATCCAATCTATAACTGCTACAATGTCAAAGCTATTCACATCTGTTTGACCATCTTGGATGATATAAAGGAAGTCAGGTCTACAGCAAAGAATCTAAACATTTTAGATTATGGCAATTCAGTTTAAAATGATTTAAACAGCTGTGGTGATTTGATCTGGAAAAGAGTTGATAGTTCCTTTCGACTTTCATCTAGTGCTCGGCACGAGAAAAAACAAATCGGTCTCGATAAGAATTTGATGTTACACTTTCTGTTGCGTTATGGCCTTATCAATCACTCGTTTACCAATATATTTGTCGAAAATAATCGACATTCCAAGCTAAATGCTTAGAAGCTCGTAAACTTTCCTATAATCAAGTTTTCACAAATGAGAAGTTATCATGGTCTAATTTTCACTAATGTGAAACGAGATTCTGACTAGCAAATTAGAAATTCGATTTTCATAGCAGAAGATCTAACAATTCCAACAAGGATGTTTTTCTATGTTCCAACCCCTTTTCTGGAACGACATCAATTTCATAGATTGGTTGCATGTTTGAGAAATGTCCTCATTTTTAAATGCATGAGTTTCCTCATTGTCTTGCAAATAAAAATGGTCGGTAATTTGGTTCCTGAAGACGAAAACTGTCCAGTGTTTTGCGTTATTGGTTAAATTGTTCGATTTCACAAACTACTACACATTCCGTGCCCTTGTATGCTGAATATCTGCAACCCAGGAAAAAAACATTAAAATAAACAAATACTAGTAGATCACACATAGTGTACCTATAAATTTATAAAGTACATTCGACAGCTTGTCATACTAGCGAGTAACATTTTATATCTTTATAACCTTTCCACCTCTTTAACGTTGTTGTTTGTACAGCAGATGTTGGTTTCGTCAATTGAGTGCCGTTAATTGGTTCTTTGTTTTCATTTCCTTATATTTTCGTCCTCTAAATTAGACTGTAAGCAGGGCCTTTGTGTCAGACTCTAATCTAAATAAATAAATAAATAAATAGTAGGAGGTGATTTCTCTGAAGTTTAAACTTTACTTTTAAAGAGCTGGGTTTTTTTTGAGTGTACAGTTCGTTGATTTTTCTCGATGATACTGTTAAATTTCACATCTCATAAAATAAGGGGAAAACATCGTACAAATATATAAACCTTTCAACTGCATGTTTTGGTCCAGGGTTTTCATTATACAGCGGTATTTTTACAAATATTTTCCCACTGACGCACAAACCAACAGTTATATATTGATTTTAGAACTCAACATATTTCCTGCTACATGTAATTAATTAAAGATAGTTCTTTATGCTAATTATTTTGTCTTTTCCTCGTCTGATTTCTTTCAGCGGCATAAACTGGATGTACCGTAGGCGTAAATTAATCAAATGGCGATCATATATCAAGAGAGTCTCTGTTGGTAATCCAGATTAGCAAAGACCTGAAAGAAAATAAGGCCGTGATCGCTTTGCGTAATTAAACTTATGCGATGTATTAATTGATTTCCGTACAAACTGTTTATTGAATTATTGGGGTGGGGATCAAACCAAGCGCTTAATTCCGCACGTTTTGTCAGTCATATCCAGGGAATATTTATGATTGGTGCGGACAAATTTCCACCGAACCGAACAGAAGAAATAGACAGAGAGCGAGGATACAAACATTGCGCGCATTTAGCTGCTGTCAAGAAACCACAAGTCATATTTCTAGCGCAGCAATCTATAAAGACGATGTATATTTGGGTAATAGACAACCACTGATTTTACTTTAAAATATTGATTAGGAAAGAGAGACAGACTGGTGCTATTCAATTTCGTATCGAACACCCCCTTTGTCTGTGTATACTGTCACCACGTGTGCAGTCAGAAAACATCGCTGATAATGGATTACCTTTTCGTCAGGTAAAACGATTTTCATATTCTAAATGTTGAATTAACGAGTTGTTTTATATTTAAAAACAAAACAAAGCACTAAACTCGTGCTAATTTTGAAATGGCATCGACTTCGTGATTTTAATTTTACATGACAAATGTTTGATGTAGATGCAAAATGGTTCAATTCAATATGTCCTGCATTTTTGGGTTTTCGTATGCATTAGAATTATCACGGATTTTTAAACAGCCTCTGGTGCACATATGATTTGGTCTGTCTACAACTTAATATTGGTCATAACGGTCAAACACTTTGAATAAAGGACATTGGATTTGTTGAGGTATCGCCACTTCACGCTCAAGGTCAAATAGTAATTTTCAGCAGTGCTGCCACTTGTTTTATTGTGTTTTAGCGACATGCAGTATTTAAAGTAACATTCTCTAATTGGTTTTACAAATTTCAAATGAAATATGAAGCTGGTGTAGTACAAGATACACCGTAACATCGGAAGCTGCTTAATGGAGAGATTAGGAATTAAGTGCCGGATATTACAGACAACTATATGTACATTGTATCTGTATAAATGAGTAATTACTGGTCCATTTAAGTACCATAGCCGTAAAGGTATCTGAATTTATGGGAGAAAACTAATGAATATTATTAAAGAACTGGCAATAGTCTGAATGGTTTGCATATTTAAACTGATTCTTTTTTTTTTTTTTTTTGAGAATTCGGCGAAATCATCTACTTTAATTTTAAAATTGTCAACACTAGTTTTGATATGAAGTATCATAGAGGTATAAATATGATAAATAAACAATAATTTTTATAATCAATACCAATCATTGGATCATCGGTGTATGTTTTAAACAACAAAGTTTGTCCTTGAGCTGTGGAAAGTACAATCCCTGTTATTTTTTTCTAGCATTAAGATTATTGAAGTCTCAAGACATTAATTCCACGTGTTTTCCAAACTGAATACGTGAGGATGGGTCCTTAGTCTTGGTTAATTTCCTAATGTCACTTGGAGCCTGGACTGACGATTACAAATCACCTCTGTTTACTATTTTTACCCTTTTATTGGGATATATTTTACGTGGTCATTTCTGTTTTTGTTTTTTGTTGTTGTTGTTTTTTTTTTTTTTTTTTTTTGTTTTTGTTTTTGACATGTAAGAAGCATGTTTACGTCATACACCTGTGCAGCTGCAGAACTGTAGCTCTCCGAGAAAAAAAAAATATATCGACGGACGGGTCGTCATCCCATTTTTTTTCAGACCAGCGAGCTACAGATCTGTAGCTAACACCTGTCACCTTGTGTCATTTTAAGGTAGTCTGATCATTAGCAGTAAAGTAATTGAAAATGCTCACAAAATTGTCACTGAAGTCACAAAGTAATGTGCATATATCCATGTTATTTCTAAATGGTTCATCATTATAATTAATCACAATTACCAGAAAATTATCAAATCTCAAGTATAATTTCAGGAGACATTGATAAGAGCACCAATTATGCATTTTCTAATTGAAAATTGATTTAGAAGTATATTTTAAGATGAAAAAATTATAGTTATCCAAGCATTTAGAAAAAAATGCATGTTTTTTTAAAAATACTTATATAGTATTTTAGTTCTTCTTAATATTCTATTAACTTCAATCGTTATATAAAACATATTATTTCATTTCATGGTAATAAACATTATTATTTCATTTCATGGTAATAAACATTGGTATGTAATACAAATTAAATAAAAGTCGGTTTCTCTAAAAACGCGCATTTTTTTGGGGTACTTCTGTGGGGTGCAACTTTCTACCTTTTACACGACCATTTCTAAGACACCAAAGAACCTTGAATCATATTAAAATGCATGGAATGAAAGTTGTTGCATGAAAAAATTTTAATTTCAAGTTCATTTTGAGACTTTTTAAAGTAATTAATAATTTTAAGAGTTATTGCCCCTGGCTGAGGAGCTGATATCCTTAAAAAACAATCACTAAACGACCGTGTTACTTTTTAGGATTGTCCTTGCACATAATCGCGTAAAGTTTGAATACAAGCAACTAAATTTCAAATTATTTATACAAGAAAAATTAAGTTTGCTTCCAGGAATATTTTTGTTGCTCTTACAAAAAGACATGCGGTCATAAACATTCGATTTCAAAAAGACCCGTGCACAGTTAATCCCATGCAGTTGTAATGTAAGCAATAAGTTGCAGCGTGTGTACAGAAATTGCATGCAATAAATACTGCATGAGATTAGTTAAAGCGTGTATATACAGAGAATTGCATAAGATTTATTACAGCGTGTGTACAGATAATACTGCACGAGATTAATTACAGCATGTGTACAGATAACATTGCACGAGATCAATTACAGCGTGTGTACAGATAATATTGCACGAGATCAATTACAGCGTGTGTACAGGGAATATTGCACAAAATTTATTACAGCGTGTGTACAGAGAATTGCACGAGATTAATTACAGCATGTATACAGATAACATTGCACGAGATCAGTTACAGCGTGTGTACAGGGAATATTGCACAAAATTTATTACAAACGTGTGTACAGAGATTGTAAATCAAATACAGCGTGTGTACGGGTCTTTTCTTGTTTTACTATTAAGACAATGGTCTTGAATAAAGGAACAAAATTTGCCTCTTAGCTAAATCGTTATTAGAAGAGTCTTGAAGATAATAATAACTTGGTCATTTTCAGCAAAACGTTAGCTAATGTTTGATATTATTGGCTAAGAATGAGAACACTCTTGTTATGAATGAATCGAAGGTCGTTATAACAATAATGTTGGAATTACTCGTTTAGTCGGTAAATTGATGTTTAATGTACATGTTCACATAAGTGCTTTAAGAGATAACCTTTTGGGGTCTTTCCACCTTTCTGTGGACAGACCCATTGAAATTGTTTTGATTATTATTATTTTTCTTCCGCTGATTTTTGTTTCGAGGTTAATCGAAAAGATAATTTGTTCATCGAAAAGGTCATTAGAAATTATTATGACATTTGACGCAAAGACTATGATCAGTGACCTCATTTTGGAGTTCTTGTCCCTTGTACGAAGAACCTTGTTATCACTGCTCCTCAATTCAATTCTTTATTCTCCTCCAAAACAATAAACCGTATAGACCGATTTCTTCAACTAATGAAGAAGACGCTTTAATATATTCATTGCAAAAGGCTTCATTGACCCCTTTTATGAGATATTGCCCCATAAAGTTTTTGACGTTTACAAATAATATCCTTTTAAAATTTCTTTCTTAAACCCTAAACTTACCCCCTTTAAAAGTAATCCTCCCTTTAACCATAAACTTTATCGCTACTCCTCCGAAACCGTAAACCATAGAGACACCAAACCTTGGTTGCTCAAGATTCAATCTATTCACCGCCAAAATACTTCCACTAATATTGAATTTGCACAGCATTAATGATAAGTTTGTATCATTTATCCTAAATGGGCAAATTTGTGCTTATTTAATAAAATTTTATATTATACGAGGATATGACATCGGCTATTGTCGCTTAATTAGCGGACATTGTACATATAGCATTGGTGGTGTCCTATCATCAGTGGACATAGTGGCGTAGGTGGTAACCAATTGATGTCATATACATTAAGTGATTACTATAGTGTCGACCAAAAGTAAACACTACATGAATGAAGACATGATTTACCGTAGGTGCTCAATTTGAAACTTATTGGAACCCAAAATCAAATATTTATAAATATCTCTAATCTGTATCTATTCCTGGTATGAAAATGAAGTATATATATATATATATATATATATATATATATATATATATATATATATATATATATATATATATATATATATATATATATATATATACCGTTTAAGCTTGATATTTCATTGATTTATCGTAAAAACGTAGCATACAGACTTAACTTTTGGGTAATTCTGTAGAAGCAGATGCGAAAGAAGCATGCTATATCAATTAGCAGTAATACAGTCCTTGCTTGAAATGATACTCGTAGGTTCTTAGAACTGTTTACAATTTGATTACAACATTTTGTAAGATGTGAACCCTGGAGATCTATAGGGCTGAATCTGGCAAGGTATTCATTAGGATATTCTTTTACTATCATTTATCATTTTAAACGATGTGGAAATTCTCTTTGAATTTCTTAAAAAGAAAAAGAAATTAAGTATGACTCTCTTAATGAATGAGGGGCTATACAAACATCCGGGAGTGTTGCATTATATACATTTTATCACTGGACATAATCTCATTAATACGGAATCGTCATCACAGGTTAGATAGAGAAATTTGTTATAAAGTTTCTAAGGTGTTACATACATGTGTTAATCCTCAGGCTGACTGTTTTTGTGATGTGTTACGTAGTCCGTTGTTTGTTTGTCCTTTCTTTGTGATCTCTTAGTGAGTTAGATCATCTTCAGAACAGCTGAGAACACCCCTCGGGTTGTTTCGGTTCACCAGTATTTTATCACCCCAGTCGATCGATTATATCATTATTATACAATGGACAAGAATGCCTACATCGAAAACTTGAATTTTTTTTGGCTTTACTTGTCCATTGTTTTGTGCTAATCCCTTCTGGAATCAGGCGATTCCAATTCGTTAATTTGGTGCTTTAAATTTGCGCGGATTGTAACCTTGAACAGTATTGAATATAACTTGCTGATGTAATGTGCACGTTTTGATCTTGGTTTTGGACTCTTTAACAAAGGTGAGCTACTTTTTCTTCAACCAACTGGAGATACCCTAATATTAGTGACAAAATATTTAATTATTTATTAAAGGTGATTTTGAGAAATTCCGTAAGATATCGTATGTTCGATAATTGATATTCCGATTATCACAATTGAACTGAATTCAATAACAGGCCTATAGCACTCCTGTAATTTTAGATTCTGCTTTGAATGAAGCTTTGAAAAATCCACAAATTGTCTCTCTCTTTTACCGTTTGGTGCAGCATAGGTCGATGGAGCTATTTTATCACGAATATGCACTAAATTAAAAGTAGATTA